TGGGTATGCCTTGCATGGGCTACGGCTACGACATGAGCGGCATGGGCATGGCCTGCCAACCCATGATGATGGGCATGCAACAGCAAACGAAGGATGCGCAAGAGGCTGGATTAAGTGGAGAGTGCTGTAGGGGCAACATGCCACAACAGACTCGCGCTTAGTAAGGAATGAGGAAACTATTTTGTGGAATCTATAGTCGCATAAAATCATTGTTCCCTACTAAGCACCAGTCAGATAAGATGTGAGTGTGTTGGTGTTTTTTTTTTTTTTTGTAATGTTGGTATGACAATAGGATAGGATTGCCATTGATTGAGACCATGCCACTGCGAAGTGCGTCAAACAACGTATCTTTGTTGTCCTCAAAGGTTGTTTGGCTTGTATACCTCTGAGGAACTGTCCCTGTGTGTCCCTAGGTGAACACGACTGGGCAGTGTCAAAATTTGTTAAAATCACTTCATGTGCTCCAGCTTGTCCACTGTGCCTACTGCTCCATCGCCAGTGCTTGGTTGTTAGGCCCAAGTGGCGCAAGCCCAAGCGACGCAAGCCCAAGCGGCGCAAGTGGCACAAGCACAACAAGCACAACAAGCGCAAGGGCAACTCGTGAACAAAGCCAATGTTGGGGGTGTCCCATTACCTGTAACAGTCTGTAAACAACGATCACTATTTTAGGGAAAGGCCTTTAAATACTAGCCATCATCATCCACTCGGCCGGGGAACAGAATGCACGCAAAGCTCATTTTGTGTGTTTTCATGTGTGCCATCTATTTTTGCTCCGTCTGAGACCGTCAGACGGGCTGCAAAAAGACGCACCGAGCCAGAGGTATGTTGCTATCGCGACGTTTGTGATTTGTGTATCGCCTTTATTTTGGGGGGTACTAGGTTCCATATACGGTTCCAAATGTAACTGAAGATCACAAAAGAACCTGTTCCAAGTGAAGATCCAAGCCAAGTCTTGGTTTGTTTTGTCTCAGTACTTCCAGCGGAAAATTCGCGGTTTGTTCGCTGCACCGTTTTGCTTTTGGCCAAGGCAAGCTGACGGCATTCGAACCGGTTTGCTTTTGCCACAGCCCAATGCCTACAAGGACTGCCATGTTTCGCCATATGTACCAGACAATATATATGCCCTAGGGCTCCAACCACCTCCTGAGAAGGTGGTTGGGGTGGGTGCCAGGGGGGTCTAATTAGCTTCTAAGGATATGGTTGGAGCCCTAGGGATGTACCGGAACAATTGCACCTCCAAACAAACTGAGGAACTGAAGTCGACCGCCTTTCGAAACTTCAGCTCTTCCAACCCTGTCCACTGTTGTCCATCGAACATTCAGGTGGGCCATGATAGTAAGCCACCCTTGCGGAATCGTTCCGGCCACCCATGGCGCCACCCGATCTCCGCGTTGTTCCGCGCCGTGTTCAGGCGGGTGGGATGCCACCTCCTCCTCCACCGCCGCCGCCAGCAGGCTCTCCTTCCCAGGAAGTCTGTGGATGTATTGCCCAACTCTTTGAAGTTTACATAGCACCCTAGGGATCCTCAAAACCAGGGAAGAGAGAGATCTCAGGGTCCTGGCCATGCCGTAGGGATCTTAGTCGTACCGAACCTCAGAAGGTACGACTGGACCCTCAAAACCTACATAAGAGATCATAAGAGTGTCGAACACATCACCGTACCTGAGAAGGTACTTGGATCCCTAGGGGCAGGGAAGTGGTCAGTGGATAACCATCCCTAGAGCTCCAGTCGCACCTTCGTTTCCAAGGTGACTGGAGGGTCCAGTCATACCGAACCTGAGGAGGTACGACTCAAGCCCTAGGGCATGCAGAACCTTCAGGAACTTCAGCACATTTAACATAATTTAAACAACTTCAGCACACCTTCAGCACATTTAACATCATTTAACAACTTCCTTCAACCTTTTGTTCTTCTTTTCTCCACGAAACCAAACAGTGCGGTGACTCCCCCTGCTTTCTTCACTTCGAACCACATGGTTCGCTGGCGCTGTTCGGCGCGCTGGGAAGACCCCACGTGGTCAATGCTTAGGGTCCAAGTGAGTCGTTTTTTGGGGTGTTTGCCTTCCCCCTCATTGAGTCTTTGACTGACTGGTGCTTAGCAGGGAATGAGGGAATGGATCCAAAGGAATCTCTATTGGGGGCTCATTCCCTCATTCCCTACTGAGCACCAGTCAGTTGAAGGTTTTAACTTCCACCAGATTTGGTGTTCATCATCGAATCATTTAACATGTGGTCGAATTGTTGTGGACCTGATGCAGTGATGAAGCACCCAGAATCCAACTGAAGATTCCCGGAGTGATCAACTGCTTGGTCATTGTTCTCTACCTCTCCGACTTGTTTGTTGTTTCTTGCTGAAGCCCGAGCCAGAGTCCCAGTATTGGGTCGGGCAAGTGTTGTTGGATGTTGAGTAAACCGGGATCAACACAGTTGAAACATGTTGAAACAAAGAGTTGGTCCATGTTGGTCCTAGTGTTCATCACCTTGGCTTGGGATGTGGCTGTGGGCTAAAGCTCGGGCACCATGGATGACCCCTTCAAATGAACAGATCCCCTTATAATCAAGGCATGTCAACCTCCCATGGTTTGGAGTCTTGACTCACAGCCTTATGTGAAAATGATATATCACCTGCGCCTGGCTCAGACCCATTTTTCAGGTCCACAAACCATCACCTCCGGTGGGTTTCGCACCGGGCTCTAACTGGGGCGGCCAACCGGTACTGGGGCGTCAGCCAGGTCACTTCGGATCCTGATTGGTGCTAGAGTCGGTGAGTGTGGGTGACGCGGGCTGATTCGGGTGAAGCGTTTCGCAGTGTGAGGAAAAGACCATTCCAAACCCTCCAGAGCCAAACTAGAACTGCTTTGTCGATTTGGTTCGGATCAATATGCATTGATCGTGTAATTACAAATGGAACCAGCTCCTTGGGGTCAGCCAATGTCGATGGAGTTGTCGACTCCTTTCTGCCGCGGAGCAAGCAAGCTGCGGTACTCTTTGAGCGATATGGGCTCTTTATGAAAACCATAGTGATGCGGACGTCGGATGCATCGTTGTTGACAGAAGGAACGAGGGTCAATTCGGACTTCTCACTAAAGAAAGGCACGACGTGATGGTGCAACAGAGCGTCCCAGATGCCTGTTACAGATGCATCTTCAAATCCCTACGGCTCCAACCACCTCCTGAGAAGGTGGTTGAGGTGGGTGCCACGGGGGTCTAACCACCTCCTGAGGAGATGGTTGGAGCCCTAGGGATTATCAGTCAACTAATTTTACCCTTGGGGTCCTCTTCCTTTCCTGATGATAATTGACAATTGCCCCCGCGTCCCGTGAAATCTCCATGATGTTTTGTCCCAGAGAAATCTCCGCACACACCCTGAAATCAGGGAAGTGGATTGCCTCCAACCTGAACTCTGAATACCAAGCAGCTGGTCTGACTGCTGCTTAGTAGTAGGAAATGAGAGAATGACCCCTCACTATAGATACCATAGGATCCATGCCCTCATTCTTTACTCAGCACCAAGCAGGTGGTTCTCACTCCACTTCCATCCACTTCCATGTAAGACTATGGCGAGGTGGTTCGGGGTATCCATGAATCACTCCATGGCCCGGGGGCCCCTGGTATGTAGATGTGTTTAGGTCACCATCAGGCTTTCGCCACACGGTCTCCAGGCACCATCAGGTCTCCAGGCACCATCACGAGACGCAATGTGTGAGAACGGAGTGTGCAAGTGAATGGGGTCCCAGACATGAAGGTTTCAACTCATTTCAACTCCATATGGATCGGAAACCAAAACCAAAAGGATCAACACATGGTTTGATATGACATATACTCTTCAAATACTACCCTCAACTCAGGTGCTCGATTGACAGTTATTGCACACCATGTATAGATCATGCATTTAGTTCGCAGTGCTTGATCAAATGACCTAAGCCCCCCCATTGAACATCCTTAGCCAAACAGCAAAACCATGGTGCTTCGGGATTCAGGCTCTTAAATGAATGGTGGCCAGGAAGCCTAGGGGAAGCCGTGAGGAAGGTCCATGATTTCCATTAAACATCTTCCAACATTTGACCGCCAACAGGGCCTAACGCCCCTCAACTAACAAGACATAACAAGACCTGTTGGCAGGTGCTGCATAGTCGTTGTTTTTGTTTGAACCCGGTCTACCCCGGTCTTCGCTTCCTGTTTCGCGTCGATCGTCAGCGCTACGAAATGATGCCAAGACGACGTGTGCATCCACGTTTTGCCGCGTGTGTCATGCCCTCGAGTGTGTTTTGCAGCGTTGGAATGGCCAAAAAGTCGCCTTCGTGGCGTCCGTGTCGCTGGACCCTCGATGATTGATATTTGCGCGCTCGGTCCGGGCCGGGAGAGGAGGCTGGTGGCTGGTGATGGCAGGAACTATGTAAAAAAGGTCTCCAAAAAGAGGTCTCCAAAGAGAGATAGGATGAGATAATGACTTCTATACTACGTCCTTTTCTAAAAGGTGGACGTGTGCACGAAACTGAGTGAGTGTTTGGAGGGTGTCTATGTAGGGACCCTCTTTCTTCCGTGAATTACAGGTCTATCTTACAGGTGCTCGGCTCGGACCCGAGGGGGAGGGGCTTGGTGAGGGGCTTCAGGGGGTCGATGGCACAGGTTTCCCCAAGAGGGTGGTTTAGATGGACCCCCATCTGAAAGACATGTAGGGGTGCCATGGGGTGCCAGTGCCATCTACTCTCAAACCACTGTATTGGAGGGTCCAAAACAAGGGAATCGTTGACACTTTGACCTTGACCTCCCTGTAGTCCGTTAGTCCATTTTGTTCATGTTCCGTGGTCAACCAGGGTCTCCGGGTTTTCACTCACAGCCACAAGTTCTCCTGCAGCCACTAGTAGCAAGAAGCTACTAGTAACAAGTGCATCGCTACTAGTAACAAGTGCCTTACTAGTAGTAACAAGAAGCTATTAGAAACAAGAAGCTATCTTAGATTTGAAAGGCATTTGAACTCGACCCGCGACCCGCGACAGGTCTCCGACTGCCTGGGTGAATTTCATCGAGCACTCAAGGACGCTTCATTGAGTCGCCCCGGCCACGGAGGGCCGCGGAGGGGTGCTAAGCCCCCAGGCGACTGTGGTCTTTGTTTACGGACAAATCTACCAGGACCTCCCAACAGGTGGTTTTAGAAGGTTAACAGGTGGTTTCTGGGCACCTGTTGCCACCAGGAAACACCTTTTGGAGGGTCCCTTGTTTTCACTCCACACAACTCGGATGTTTTTGGTCGGTGTTTTTCTGCCAATCCTTGGACCCTTTGCAGGGGTTGGGCCTTCTCCGCTCTTGCGCGGAATTCCTGAACCAAAGCCTTTCCATTTGAGGTCCAGATTCTTAGGGTGCGTATGGATGTTTTTGGGGTTCCGCGAGGTGGGTGAATCCCTGAAGCTGGGTGAATCCCTGAAACCTGGAGAAGATGATTTTTTGGGTGTACACAAAGGCCACTGGACCTCCACTCGGCCTAAGCACATGTCAACATGTGTCAACGGTGTTGGATTTGCCACACCGACATCCACCGACCCTTGACTTGACTTGGAGAGTCCGTTGCCGGAGTCTGAGAGGAGAGGCTCCAACAAACATGTTTGAGGGAATGCTTAGAGTGTGATTTCGTGTGTGTGTCCCATGACCTGTAATAGAGTGGGTAAACAAGAACATCACATCCCTAGCGCTTCCAATGGCCGCCCTGTCTGGAGACCTATGTACGTAGGGTAGGGTAGTCTATTGGACACCCATTGGAGGATCCTGGTATGATCACTCCTGTTTGTTTGGAGAAGGGCCTGCAATCTAACCATCATCATCCACTGGTACAGGAATGGGATACACTCAAGGAATGCTAATGTAGGACCGGAGGTTGTTTTCACCAGTCTGTTGGGGGTTTCTAATTAACTAGGCGGATGAGTGAGAAAGGTGCGCAGAACTAAACTATCCCCCAAATCCCAATGTATGGAATATATTTACCTACATTGACCCTTATATAATTATATATAAAATAAAATAAAATAAAATCACTGCAATGTATTGCAATGTACTGTAGGCCAAAATTCCAGTCCCATGGATTGTTGGGGTATGTATGTTGCTTGCTTCCTCCCCTGCTCCCTGCGCCCTTTGTCCCACGACCTGCCTGTCTAACGAAGTAACTTGATCGGCCCTGAGCACGTCGAGAATGGAGCGCACGTCGGTGGATGTAGTCGGTGGGCTTGCAACAATCTATAACAACGTGTGACACCTCGTTTTATCATCTTCTATCCTTGACTTGGGCAACTGTGTCATGGAGCTGTTGCATCGACCTGTAGTCATTGTAGTCCATGTTAGTGTCCATGTTATGTTTTAAAGCTAGCTAGATCGCGCAACCCCACCAAGCCGCCGTTCAGATGCGTTTGGGCAGGACATCTATGATTACTGTGCAGATCTACCCGCCTCAGAGGAGATGCAGGGATTAGATCTTGTGCCCGGATGTGGGACCCTCAGAGGTCTCTGGGGGGTCTCTCGAGCTGGGTCGACCCTACCAGCTTGGGTCGTACCAGCTTTGAGGAAGCTGAGTTTGCACAAAACACATGCTAACTATTCCTGGTATAGAGATGTGTAGAGCACCAATGCAGGGAAATGAAACTGACACGTACCTTTAAATGCTTGTGGGAGGCATCCAGCCTGGGAAAACGCCAATCAGCTTGAGGGTCTCTGGATGTTTTGGATGTTCATGGTGCCTTTGGGTTTCGAGTTTGGAGGCAGGGCAAGTGGATGTCTATCCACCGAGCATGATATGAAGCAAACCCATACACTCCATGGGACTGGAATATATGCCTACACATGACCCCCCGTGGCACCACCCCAACTGATCGGCATATATGGCAGTCCCATTAGTCGTGTCTGGGAAAAGGTTTTCCAAGTCCGACCATGAAGACCCAGACCGACGCCGGATTCGATGCAACGACGATGCGACTTCGATGCGACTTATGATTCCCAGACCTCAAGCGAGATAGATGGCTGAATCCTTTTCCTTTCGCGCATACTAAGTCCAGGAGGACTAGTATTGGAATGGCTGAATCATTGGAATCAAAAAAGAGACAGACCGTATTGGGCTTTCTAGCATGTCGACCAAAGTGCTGGGCAAACCCCAGTCACTCCGTTGGTGACTCGCTTCCTCGCGCACGTTTTTTTCCGCTGATTCTCAGGAGTTGGGCATCCTCGCGCGCGTGGTGGCCGCCTTCCAACTCGAGGCATCCAACCATCCGGTCACCATTTCTCCGCCGCTGCATCGCACTGCATGCTGTGGGGAGCGGAGCATCATGTGGCCTCAGAGCCCTTTTGTTTGACCATGCAGGGTGACCTCGGAGAAGACCGTCATCCAGCAGTCACCATGCGGGGTGCTATCCATGGAGGTAGTCGGGGTGCCCCTGTCGCATCCACTCACTGGGTGGGACTAAAAAACCACCCCGACATGTGACTACTGGAGTATGATGGAGTATGTGTCATCCTTGTTCCAGATCTTGGACTGAATGGGTTGCCCCTGGTGGCAGCGAGCTTGAAGCTCCCCAACCAGCCAAGCATGGCGAATCCGCGTGGCCATGCGAGCGACGGTCTTCCTTCTGAAAACCAGCGACGGTCCTCATCGGTGCGATCGAGACCAGGTCGGTCATGTCACGTCATGGCAGGCAGGTCACGTTGCTCGCGCTCCGCGGGTGTGCTCGAGGTCCCAGGTTTCCTTTCGACCTTCTCAGACTTGAATCGACCTCCAAGCAAGTGCAGCAGCTGTGTTTAGCTTCCAAACCAGGATCTTCCCATGCAAAGATGCTTGCCCTTTGGGGTCTTTTTCTTTTGATTGATGATTTGGATATTGAGGTGCTGATGTTTGGCACTCCTAGACCTCAGCAGTACCTACTTTACTCAGAAGATATATTTGGATCCTCCAAACCCACCCCAAAAGTTCTCAGAAGGTACTTGGAGCTCTAGAGGACATCAACTCATTCCAGTCCTCCGGAGGCTTTTTCGTTGAAGGGCTGATCTGACATTCTGCAGGCGAGAACCCACACGGGCTTGTTTGGCTAAATCTTCCAACACCCGGACCCTCCAGGACCCTCGGCAGTTTGCCTCGGAGTTCGAGCGTAGCCTCAAAACCTTCACTCGCCTACAGCCCTTGGAGTTCAAGGCGCGAAAAGCGTGGGCCATCCTCGCTCTACTTGCGGGGGGATCCTCATCCTATTCCGTAAAAGAGATTGTGAAATGGATGTATATTCCAGGTTCTTCAAAGTGACAAAACTTGATCCCCTGGTTTGATTGAGGTCAAACAGGCCTAGAAATGGTGGATGGGACTCCTCCAAAAAGGTCGCGAACTGAAGAAGCTGGTGGTGGATCTTGCCTTAGCCTTGGCCATCCCTTTGAAGAAGCTGGTTCTAGTTTATCTATTTCTGTTCGCCAAAGATGTGTGGGGGATCCTCCACTGTGGGTGGTAGGGAGACCGGAGCGAGGGTCAGAAGCGGTAGGGATTGCTGCTGAGTTCAAGGGAGTGACCGAGAAGGGGTCGACACATCATGGGAGTGACTGTTCTCAGGGCGACCACTTGCCATAATTACAGTATATTATATATTACGTATAAAGTATAATATTGGTATATTACATGTGTATATATATTATATATCTGGAAACCCGTATGATCACTTTTTGTTTGATCACTATGGCCTCAAGCCGTATTGACCGTTTTTTTTTTTTTGTGCATATGCCGTATATGGGCACGGACATCTCTCTGGGGGACTCCATGTTGTATGAATGGGAACTGTATACGAATATGGCCGTATACTGGCCATATTTGCATGCATATTTGGGGGTGCCCATATGATACTAGTATTTGTTCAATATGTTATTGAAAAACCACCGTAACCATATTCCAACATACTAGTGCGAATACTGCGTTGGAACACCCGAATATGGTACCCTATTGAGCCAAGAGAGGAAACCGTATATGCCCGTATTTGGGCAAACCCCGTAATGACCAAAAAAAATGAACATACAGGTAAAGATAATATCTAGATGTATGCGTGTTTTTTGAGTTTGAGAGTTCCTTTGGGGTGTTCGAGTTCCTCATGTGTGCATGGTGTTTTACATTTGGAGTTTGGGCGGCCAAGAACTCATTCCGCCAAGACACTTCGTTCGCCCGGTTTGCTGAACACATCAGGATCGCTGAACGATATAGGACACCGGCCCGCTGGTTTCATCTCGGTGGCACTCAGCGGACCCCAAATCAACAAACAACAGTATAGGCTCACGGTCTCGAATCGTTTCGAACGCGACATTTGGAATATACGCATGTCCTAGTGTCTCATAGGTGACTCATTCTATGAATTTAATATAATTTAATTGCCATTGCTAACCCTCGAATTCTAGATGTTTCCATGATGTAAAGACACAACAAAAAGAACGCCACGGCAACAAAAATACACCAAGGCCCCTTAGGCCCTTTTTGAGGTTTCTACTGATAGCCCCGAAAAGAGGTGCTTCGCGGGGGCAGGGGTGTCCAGTCACACCAACCCTGTCCAGTCGGTCCTCTTTCCGCACGCGGGCGCAAAGCGCGCACGCGCCACACCGTGTGAAGTCCAGGCCCTGCTACCATGCTCGGGACTCCCAGCGACCCCCATGTCGGTCCCAGAGGTCAGCCCGACATGCAGTCGGGGGGCTGTGAGTTGATCACTTGAGTGAAACAGCTGTGAGGCAAGGACGTCACACCCAGCTGTGCAGTTCTTCACCCAGCTGTGCAGTTCTTCATTTTCGCGCGTCGCGCTTCCAATCTGGGTGTCTGGTGACCTTTTTCAGAAGCAGGGTTGTCCAGCCAGGTCACCCCGAACGGAAGCAGCTGGTCGAAATCTATCCCAGATGATCCATTTGCTTGCTTTTTGGAGCTCTTTGCTCGGGTCATGGCCGTCGCATCACTCGGTCAACACCAAGAAGGTGTTTTTTTTTGTGCAGCAGAAACCAAGGTCCCCAGTGGGGCGATTTCGACCGAGCGACATGTGTCCGGGGGGGCGATTCCTCCTTGGGAATACCCAGAACGTTCCATGTGATCGATGCGATGGCTACTGTATACACATGAAACATATACATATAACCCTCAGAGTCCTGGGACCTTGAAAAGTAAGTCCTCCGCCGAGGGGACCCTAAAAAGTACATGCGCCGAGTGTCCCACAACAATGCCGAGTGACCCACGAGCCGAGTATCCCATATGGCCTCTCAAGACCCCTCACCCCCCTGCTTGAAGCTCCTCACTCCCCATGAGCAAGCGTGAGCAAGCGTGAGCAAGGACCTCATAAAGTACCTCGGCGGACCCAAAAAGAACCTCGGCGAGCGTGAGCAAGCGTGAGCGTGAGCAAGCGTGAGCAAGCGTGAGTACTGCGATGCCAAAACATGTGTAGGTTTAGGTGCGTGCATGTGAAGAGATGGGAAAAGGGGCATGTATTACCACCAGGTAGGTGGACGGATCCATGACTAAATGGCTGCAGAAACAGTGGGAAATGATCATCGATGAGGTCGGGACCACAAGAAACAAATGGGGCCAAAGGATCACGGATGTTAACTATATATTGTGTACGTTCCTTTTGAGGTCCGGGACCTCAAAAAGTACATGGTTCAAGCATTGCCGAGTGTGTACCTTTCAGGTCCTGATTCCTCAGACATTCTGAGGACCCTACTTTTTCAGGTCCTGGACCGCCAGGGTAATATATGTGAACCATTGTGAAACCACATGAACCCAATTGCGCAACAAGGCGGCGCCCTGATGTGTAAACAAAGCCGGACATCGTTTCCAGCGACGAACGGATCTGGGAAGTGTTGAAGCCGATCGAATCTCGTTCGGATGCGGAGGCTTCTCGGCGCTGGTCGACCAGTTTTCCCCGCAGCTTCACCTCCCGTTTTCTCCGGGAGGTGTTGTACATTGTACATCAAATACAACAGCGGACTGGAAGAGCAGTTCTGAACGGATTGGACGCTTCTGAAGAAGGGACCCTGTACCCAACTCCGAGAAGTGGTCTCAGGGTCTCAATCGACAGGATCCATAGCTTTAATAAAGGGCTTCCATGGGGTTTCCTGTAATTAGATGTTTCTTCCCACCAATTCCTTGACGAACTTTGCTGAAGGAACCAGGAGCGCCATCCGTTTGGACAGTGCTGGGTCCACCGCAGAGCTTCTTTGGAAGAGCTTCAGGTGTGCAAGAGCTTCAAGATTGGCAGACGACAGAAGCATTTGCCAAGGCTGGTTGGTGCGGTCACTGAAGCAAATGGTGGTCACGGTTTTTACCAAAGAAAACACATGAAAACAACAAGCCCGGAGTTCGGTGTTGCGAGATGTTTGTTGGGTTCCTTGGTTTTGCGGCTGCAAGAAGATAGAAGATGCTGCTGAACAAGCTAAAGAACTGGCTGTCCATGTTCTCCCTAGTTACTTATACGATGCACCGTCCTGTCGTGGTAGATGTAGATGTGGGGTGGCCCCCCGGGCTCCAACTGAGTTCATCCCAGAACGATGTTAAGAGTTCGAGGATCCTGCCTTCTCAAGCGTTTGGGCTAAGCCTTATCTGGGGTGATCGGAGGTGCCAAACCCTTGGGGTGATTGAAAAGGCAATTTGATGCTACGAGACGAAACATATCGAAACATGCATCGGCTGGTGTTGTCCTGCGAAGCTCATAACATCCAAGAGGTTCCTGCTACGCCGCTACGCCGATGGCGATGGCCTCAACATATCGGTGGTTACCATGACGTCTTTGTGCCCCAAGGACGCCCCAAGGACATCCATTCACCAAGGACTCCTCGCGTGGTTCTCGTTGTCCTCCTTGGGCCGGTGACGGGAGGGTGAGGAAGAACATACCATGACCTTTTGTTGCATTGATCCACCTTGTTGTGGAATGACCAGGGTCTCCAATACTTGACTCACAGAATGTTTGTTGCAGTGCCTGAGATATACAGCATAGAACGATGATTCCAATGTGCATCAATTGGCGACCATCTACTTTTCCAAAGAGCGACCTCCTCTGAAATAAGTCAAACATATATAGATAGATAGATAGATTGATAGATAGATATAAATCCATCACCTCCTGGTCGTGAGTTCTCCAGCACTTCTGGTGACATCACATCCCTTCTTGCTTGACAAGTGACCTTGTCAGGGTGCCGTGCCACCATACTTAGTGGTCGTTGTTTCGGTGTGCCATGCTTCGGCGGTCTTCATCACGGGTCTCAGCATCCAACGTCCAGAGCTCACCTCTCTCGCCACGAGGTCTTGCAAGTGGCACAGTGGGGTCTGGGGGACTCAGCTTCGATGCCCAGGGCCAGCCCTGCTGTGCCTGATGCTTCGAGCTCGAACTCGGGCTGTGATGAGGTGCCTTTGCCCCGGACCTTCCCAGTGACCTGAATCTGAGATCCCAGAATGAGGTCACTTAGGCCTTGAAAAGGTCACTGACCAATCCTGAAGAGGTCACTGGGAAGGTCCTGGTCGGTGTTTTGTTTTGGTGGTGATGGGAAATGAGTGGATGCTGGATGATGTTGCTATATGTGAATCACAGGTTTAGATCCTGCTTGAACCTCGGCTGGAAGTCTTGGTCAAGAACTCAGTGTCAAACAGGTCATGTGAATGTGGCTCCCATTGGCCACATCTTACAGTGGTTTCAGAGGAATATGCTTTGTTCACTTTGCTTTCCTGGCTCCTGCAAAAGCAAGGGGTGGTCTCTTTGTTTTCCGGACTCAGGATTGGAGAACAGCCCCACTGAGACGCAGCAGATGGAGGCTGCACTGGAAAGACATCAGGAATGGATCTGACGGTTGATAAGAGCGTATTACGCACCCACTTAGTAGAATTCCTGGAGCTAACACGGCCTTTGTTGGATGATCATGTTGACCAAATAGGTGGGTTTTCACTCCTTCCCTCCAGATTCCATTGATTTCAGCCAGGACCCCAAGCCTTGAAGTCCCAGCACCCGGACACATCGAACGCTGCCACGGGCCGAACGAACACGTGCTCCTCCGTGTGCTGCGTTGAACGCAGCGGTTTCCGCCCCCCCCCCGGTCTGGAGAAACGGTGGACCATGTGGTTTGGGTCGGTTCTTGAGGTTCTTGGTACCCACCAGGGTCCGGACGCTGAGGGTGCGGTCTCGGCGCCGACTGAAGACAGTGGCTTTAGAGACGGAGAGAGAAGTGAAGATAGTGAAGCATGGTGGGAAGCATGGTGAGAGAGTACCCTGATTAGAGGGCATGTTTGGAATCATGTGGTTGTTTTTTTTGGTGTACCTGTTGCTGCCTGTGGCTTTCGGCTTTCTTCGCTTTTGACTGCTTGACTTCGTGGCGACCCTGGGCTTTTGGTTACCTTGGCCACTGTGTTACCGCTTAATGCTCATCTGCAGGGAGGGTATTGGCAGCCATGTTAGTTCGGAGTGTGTGTTTCAAACATGTTGTTTTTGTTTTTGGCTTTGCTGGGTTGTTCTTTATGCATGGAGAGCTTTAGGAAGGTTCAGTGTACAGTCGCCTTTCCATGCCTCTGAGGAGGGTAGTTTTTCAGTGGTGGCGAGGGGCCACTTTAGTTCGGCTGTGGTTGCCGCATATTTTTGCTTTGGTTGACTTGGCTCGGCAAACCAAGTGCCAAGCCGGCCAAGCCGCCAACTACAAAATGCAAACAAAAATCGGACGTGATCAACACCTAGCCACACCTAGCCATCAAAATCCCAACGCACACGAGCCAAAAGCAAGCCATCGACCACACAAAGAAAAACAACAACCGAAAGCCACACACGCCACCGAAAGCAGCCCAAAAGCTCAAAGCGCCAGGTCTCTGCAGCCAGGTCTTTACGGGCCTATGGGGCGACACCCAACAGCACCGAGGGAAGGAACCGGACCTTCTTACGGCCGTGAAAGGCCGGTGCTGTCGCTGTGCCTTCCGATCGGCCCCACGCGTGCGATGTCAAGGTGTCGGAGCAAGGACCGGAATCCGGCGTCCGAACCAAGCAGAGCCCTTTTCGATGGGACGAGCGTTTGGATCCGAAGATGGCACGTCCCTTCGTCCCGGCCACGGAGGATCTATGAAACGATGTTGGGGTTGAGGTGGTGGAACGAGTCCTAAATCCCATATATGGCCCTAGATGGCACAAGCATACCCGGACGCTCCGTGTATGCCACATATATGCCGATCAGTTGGGGTGGTGCCAGGGGGGTCAATGCGGCGGCATACATTCCAGTCCCATGGAGTGTATGGGATATACCATCATGGTTGTTTGGGTACCGGACTTTTCGGGGGACCATTTCTTTCAGCACAGTGCCACCGAAAAGCAGCTGGGCCGAGCCTCGAGGTCTGGCGCCAGTGTGCCATGATGATCTCCGAGGTGGCGTTGGATGCCGCCGTCCGGCCCACCAGTGGCATTGGGCTGGGTGCGGTGGAGCCCAAATGGGGGGAGAGAGGTGCGCAATTCCGGTGGAGCCCAAATGGAATGGTCGTTTGTCCATTTGGATGTTCGTTTGCTTCATCGTCCTTTTTTTACAAGTCCTCACCTGGTCTTTGACCTCCTTATGGGTTTGGTATGACCAACTCCAAAATGAGGTCTTTGGCTCTGTCCATGTCCACCCACTTCCAGCGACCGAAAACGCGTGATCCGGATCGCCCTGGAGGACTCAGTGGTGACCCTGGGGACCCAGGGCATCCAGGCAGTTCCCGTCGCTGGGAGTCCGGTTCGATAGACGTAGAATCCCTGGTTCCTTAGGGTTTGCCTGGGGTGCACTGGGATGAGAACATCAGCCTTGAAATGATTTTGAACCCACCGACTATATAATCCCTCCTGGCTCACCTCCTCAGGTAAGGTGGTTGGGGTGGGTGCCAGGGGAGTCTAACCCCTTCTGAGGATATGGTTAGAGCTCTAGGGAATATGTTGTTCAAGCGTTGAAACCAACCAGAGGAGTTGTTCTTTATCCCGTTGAGGTTCGGCCACCGGAGGATGTAAAACCCCAGGTCTACCTCCCGGATGCACCGGTTCCGGAGGCGGGGAGTTCGGAATAAGGGCATAAGGGACGCACGGATGGAGGGGTTTTGATGGGAAGAGTGGTAACTGGTAGCTACTCGTCGGTCAATTTTGCACCCCGGGAAAAAGCACCAGTTCCGAATTTCAAATAGCATATCACGAAAGCTAGCGAAGCTAGCTGGAGTTACTCTTGCGATAGCAAGGTTTCTTTCGACCGGGTGCAAATCCTAACCCCTGATTTTTCAGGTCGAAGACCCCCCCCCTCCCTCCCCTCCGCCCCTCTCCCCTCCTCCCCTCTCCCCTCTCCCCTCTCCTTTCTCCCCACCCCACCTCCCCTCTCCTCCTCCTTGTCTTCCTCCCACCTTCCCTCCCTCCCTCCCTCCTCCCTCTTCGCAAGTTCGACTCCGTCCTGTCGTCGCTCTTTGGCATGCGGTTAGCGTTGCGTATCTTGCGGCCGCACTCGCTCACTCTCACTGTCTCACTGTCTCACTGTCTCTCTCTCTCTCTCTCATCTCTCTCATCTCTCTCATCTCTCTCATCTCTCTCATCTCTTTCTCATCTCTCTCATCTCTCTCTCCTCTCTCTCTCTCTCCTCTCTGTCTCTCGTCTTTCCGTCTCTCTTCTCTCTCTTCTCTCGCAGGAGGATCCGGGCAAAGAGCCACATATAAAGGACTCTTCACCCCTGCCTCCAAAAAGAGCGCCGTGTCTTTTCCTACCTCGCTGCCCTCCACTTTCCCATTCTGGAGCGCTAGCTTTCGCCCCCCCCCCTTGGCCTCAAGTTTTTATAGGTGCAAAAGGGGTGGCCGATGTTTGTTGAATGGACGCGAATCATGTCGCTAACGTTTAACAAGACACCAAGACGTTCAGCGTGTTCTAGAGACGCTGAGCAGATTCGAGAGAGCGGCTTTTCATCTGAAGTAGGTCGGTGCTGGTGTGACTAAGCTGTAGGGATGGATGATACCCTAGGGCTCCTGGCCCATCTCCTTAGGAGGTGGTTAGACCCCCCTGGCACCCACCCCAACCACCGAACCTCGGATACACCATGTCCATCCATGTTCAGTTTAGACTGAAGGATCCACCCTGCTTCTCCCATCCGAAAAAAGGCTCATTGTGGATCACTTGCCCTTGCTGTGTCGTAGTAAAGCTGGGGAAACCCCACTCAGAGATGGAACAGGTGGAACATGTGGCTTATATGATTGTTCATAATTTGTTCCCTTATTTTCCACTGAAACTGAAGGAGTCAGTTCTTTTCTCCACTGGATTTCTTTCAATGATTCTTAGACTTTGGCTGTGAGTGCTGACCACAACCAGCATAAGTGATACTCCGGTATACACATGGCTGTGCCAGAGGCGCCAGAGCCAGAGGATTGGGCACCCGGCACTGAAGTTACGCTAGTGGATCCGGAACTGGCGCGTGGCCCCAGTGGGTGCTGGATATTTGAGGTTTCTCTCAGCCTGATCGATGCTTTTTTCCCACCAGCTGGGTCCAGATCGAGGAACTTTTGCAACTTTTCATTCGAGACTGCACAAAGGAAGACCTATACAGTATTATGGAGATCTTCCAACCAACATTTCTGCCTTTGGGCTGGTGCTATAGATGAAAAGGCAGAAATTCTGCACCTTGTGGCAGCGGGCTTGAAGCTCCCCAACCAGAGAAGCATGGCGAACCGCATGGCCATGCGAGCGACGGTCTTCCTTCGGAAAACCAGCTATGGGTGTGTAACGGGAGAAAACAGGGAGACCTTCCAAAGGCACTCGAACAGGATCAACAGACCGAAAGCCATTTGATGAGGATCTCCCAAACAAAAAACACCACTACTCGGCCAATCCGGAAGAGATGGACCCCTTCGTTGTTCCGTTCAACTTCGCTCCCAGGTTCAACTCGCGGCACGGATCCTCACCGCTGAGAGAATGCCCCGGCCAGTGCCCGCCAGAGCCTGATCCTCGCTAGGAAGTCTGCGGAACACCTGCACAAGCAAACTTGGGGGATTGGGGGGGTTCCCCCACGAAACAGGTGGAACGCGTGGTTTAACACTATACCGGTATATAGATTTACCTCTACTACTTGTACAAACAGGTGCTTTTCAGCCACTTCGTGATGTGTATGCTGGACATTTTGTGTGAAAGCCTCCCCGTGCAGCCTCGCGCTCGAGGCTGCAGACCCCGAACATGAGGGTGTGCGTGAGCCCAGAGGACATGACGCGACCAAAACGTTTACTCCTTCCACCTATGCGGCTCTCAGGTGCACCGTTAATTTGACAGTTCTTACCGAAGAACTAAGGATTTGACACTACAAAACCAGGTCAACCATTCTTTTGACGGTTTTTTGAAGGCTAGGGCCTAGGGCACATGATTTTATAAGATTGTGTTGTAACCATTGGGACTAAAAACATCTATATACAGTAACTTCCGTTGCTGCTGGGTCGAGACAGGCGAACGCCGGCTCCGAATCTACGCCGACGCCAGGGTCTGGAAATGAGGGATCGACATTTCAGAGGCATCTCCAGAGGTGGGTCAGGACCCGAACAGGGTACCCCAGGTGATGGTCCCGACGTTCAGGTCACTGAACTTCTCTTGGACTCTTGGAGTCTGCAGGTCTGCTCCGCACTGGTGAGAGCTCCACGGTGCTCCAGTGCTGCTCCCCGTGCCGTGCCGAGGTCCAACGCTTGTGCCGTTGGAGCTTGACGTGACTTGGGCCTCCAGCGGCGGGTTCGGGAGGCTGCGGCGCCCGGAGTTCGGCCGCGAAAGCGGGGCTTTCTGGGGTGATGGGCCGCTTTCGCGGTGATAAGGGATGTTTATGGAAGAATTGGTCGGTTTTTTCGGACAGCTCCTGGAGAGCCAATCCAAGGTTGGAAAGGCTACTAATTAGAAGTTGAACCACCAATGTTTGACTAAAGGATTTTACCAATACAAAGCCGGATCAACTATTCCCAGACACAACCAATGGGACTGCCATATATAATCATATATATATATATAAGCCACCTCACTGTTAGTTGATGTTTTCATTTGCATTTGGAGTTTTCACCTTGCTGGGGATCATTACAAACACCACTGTGGTTGTCTTCAAGATCAAAACCTTGTTCATCATTAAGACCACAATGCTTTCATCATCCTTCAAAACCAAAGCCTTGTTCCACACTGTTACACTGCTTTTCATCACCTTGAACACCAACATGATCATCATCAGAAAACAGTCTTGATCAGGTCCAAGTTCATGATTGTGACCTTCATGTTTTTACTACGCTTCAACACTGAACATCTTGTTCCAGACTGTTTTTCGTCAACGCGATCACCAGCATGAACATCATCAAAGAAAAGAATATCGATCAGGTTTAAGATCATGACGCCGATCTTCTTGTGGGTCGTCATCATGAATGAAAAAACACTACAGCACCATTTTTTACTTCTCTTCACCATTGAAGACCTTGTTCGACACCAAGGCTGCCATCATGATCATACGATTATTCATCATCTTGGTCATGAATATAAACATAAAAGACATGATCTTGATCTTCGTCAAAATATATCATCATAAATGAACATCATTACAAGCACCACTGTGGTTGTCTTCAAGATCAAAACCTTGTTCATCATCAAGGCCACCATTAAGACCACAATGCTTTCATCATCCGTCAAAACTAAAGCCTTGTTCCACACTGTTACACTGCTTTTCATCACCTTGAACACCAGCATGATCATCATCAGAAAACAGTCTTGATCAGGTCCAAGTTCATGATCGTGACCTTCATGTTTTTACTACGCTTCAACATTGAACATTTTGTTCCAGGCTGTTTTCCGTCAACGTGATCGGCAGCATGAACATCATTTAACAAGAATGTCAATCAGGTTTAAGATCATGATGCTGATCTTCTTGTGGGTCATCATCATGAATGAAAAACACTACAAGCACCTCTATACTTCTCTTCTCATTGAAGACCTTGAACATCAAGGCTGCCATCATGACCATACCATTGTTCATCATCTTGGTCAGCGACATGAACATCAAAGACATGATCTTGATCAATGACATCAAAGACATTCTCTTGCAAGCTTAGTCTACCCTGCCATCTGAGGGGTTCATAGTAGTAAAACCCTTTGATCACAAGGTGAGCGTTTTGTTTCTTTATACATCTTTTCACGGAAAGCATTATCCCCGGGTGAGCTATTTGGTTTACTGTATAATCTTTCCATTCATTTCATTAACACACGGTGCACTATTTAGTATATAAAAATCTTTCCATTGATAGGATTAACACAGGGCACACTGTTTGGTTTATAAAAACCTTGTCACTGTTCACTAGCATTAGTGTACCCTTCCATCTGAGGGGCTCAGATGGCACGGTCACCTCAAGTGAC